CTTAGTACTCTCTAACCTAGCTAAGTACCATCTAACCTAGCCAAATGCCATCTAACCTAGCTAAGTACTCTCTAACTCAGCCAAGTACTGCCTAATGCAGCCAAGTACTCTTTAACGTAGCCTAGTACTCTCTAACCTAGCCAAGTACTGTCTAACATAGACAAATATATCCCTTAGTATTCTATAACCTAGCCAAGTTCCATCTAACCTAGCCAAGTACTCTCTAACCTAGTCAAGTACCATCTAACCTAGCCAAGTGCCATCTAACCTAGCCAAGTACTCTCTAACTCAGCCAAGTACTGCCTAATGCAGCCAAGTACTCTTTAACCTAGCCTAGTACTCTCTAACCAGGCCTTCCAGGGTCCTAGGAGGTCCAGCACAGGTCCTACCTTGGATGCAGCCACAAGCTGGGCTGTGCTAGCAGCAATTTCATGCGAACACACCATTAGCTCCTCAAATTTCCCTCTGCCTTGTACCACCAGATCAGCTGCATCCCTGATGGAAAACGACAAGAGGGACTAGGTTTTGGGCAGATGAGCCGCAACTCCTCCACAATCCCACCTCCAGACCCCCAGCATCACCCTGTGTCCCCTGGGAGAGCCAGGCTCCCTTGTAAACTTGGTCCTATTGACTTCCTGATCAATAGTTTATTGATCAGGGAGAGATTCTTTTCGCCTCCTTAGCTATTGTTTGGAGTGGATCAATGGAAGAGGGGTCAGGGGAGGAGCCTTGGTACCAATGGATACTTACACCATGACAGTGGCTCCCCAGCCCACAGCCTTGGAGGCTGAGATGAGTCCTTCTGTCCATCGAGAGTTCTTGGCATAAAACTCTTTAGGGGATGCTGTACCCTAGGGAAGAAAAAAATAGTTGTAGCCACCTTTTATTGAGCATGTACTATATGGCAGGTGCTTTTATATATATATTATCCCAAATCATCCTCATAGTAACTCTGAGACATAAGCATTAGTATTCCCATTTCACAAAAAAGAAGATTCAGAGACAAAAATGGCTTTTCTGGCTGGGTGCAGTGGTGCTCGCCTGTAATCCCAGCACTTTGGGAGGCTGAGGCAGGTGGATCACTTGAGGTCAGGAGTTCAAGACCAGCCTGGACAACATGGTGAAACCCTGTCTCTATTAAAAATACAAAAATTAGCTGGGTATGGTGGTGGGTGCCTGCGATCCCAGCTATTCAGGAGGCTGAGGCAAGACAATCACTTCAACCTAGGAGGCGGAGGTTGCAGTGAGCCGAGATCGCGTCACTGCACTCTAGCCTGGGCAACAGAGCAAGACTCTGTCTCAGAACAAAACCCTGGCTGGGCGTGGTGGCTCATGCCTGTAATCCCAGCACTTTGCAACGCCGAGGCGGGTGGATCATGAGGTCAAGAGATTGAGACCATCCTGTCTAATATGGTAAAACCCCATCTCTACTAAAAATACAAAAATTAGCTGGGTGTGGTGATGTGCGCCTGTTGTCCCAGCTACTCGGGAGGCTGAGGCAGAAGAATTGCTTGAACCCAGAAGGCAGAGGTTGCAGTGAGCCGAGATCGCACCACTGTATTCTAGCCTGGTGACAGAGTGAGACTCAGTCTCAAAACAAAAAACAACAACAATGAAAAACCAAAACCAAAAACCCAAAACAACAAAACAACAAACAAACAAAAAGGCTTTTCCCAAGGTCATGCAGGAAATAAATGGAAGCAAATCTTGGGCTTTTCTGACTCCAAAGCCTGCAGCATTTCTACCATACGCTGACATTTCTGTATTGTATATGTAAGAATAAATATTCTCATATGAATAAGTTATGATCTGAAAAGAGTCTAGCCACTCTCTGCGATTTGCCAATAAAAAAAGAGACTACACAGTGAATATATTAAAAAATATATTTCTACTTGGATTTGAAAAATGTTTTTTTGCTTTGGAAGTGTCTGATAGTCTGAGGATCTGCAGATAATCCTTGTCCAGTCCATCTTTCTATTTTAGAAACAGAAAACATTGCCTTGCAGGAAGATAAAAGGCACCAGCAAACCAGGCCTGGCTGCTTGCTTTACGGCACTGTTCTCAGGCTCATTAACCCCTCTCTGGACTTACGCCTCCCAAGCTGCAGTGGCATATGGGGAAATAAGAAAAAAAAGATGATGATAATCCCAGCAAAGGCATGAGACCATGAAGTGATGCATTGATAACAGGCTGACAGCAGAGTCTATTTGTAAGGGTGAGTTGACTCTGCTGGTGGAAACAGACAAGGCAGAGCTCCCTGTGAAAAGTCAGTCTCAAGCTGGCTTTCAGGATCTGCTTCGTTTGCAAAAGTCCTCATGTCTCCCTCAGAGTACCCAGGTGTGCAATGTAAGCAGGGCTCCCACAGCAAGTTCCAACAATGTCTGCCTGTGCGAAGGGAGCTGGAGTTGGGACCCATGCCTGGCCACCCTCTAGGAAGGTCCTGGAGCTCTGACTTCTCCCCAGGGCCTCTGCTGATGTCTACAGGAGTGGCACCTCTGTGCTCAGGTGGACACACAGAACAAGATGGCAGCATCACAGAGTCTGGTGGAGTGAGAATCTGTCACCAATGCCTGCTCTTCCTGCCCAGGGCCCACATCCACACTCACCCTGCCGCTCTCCACAATCTCTCTCTGGAGGTCCTTAGAGGCTACAATCAGCACCTGAATAGCTTGCATGAGGCTGGTACAGCAACCAAGGATCCTGCCAAACAAACAAATAAACAAAAAGTCGGGGATACACTGAGACCAAGATCCAAGATCAATGAACACGACTGTTCTCCTTTCCACTCCTAGCCAAAGGCAAGCTTGGAATGGGAAAGAGAGGTACGAAAGGTGCTGAGATTGCTGGAACATTCTGCGGGGAGGACCCGAAGGAGAGGCTGGGGAATGACAGATCGATTGTGGGTCTCCATCGTAAGGAATAGTGAAGTTGTGATTCCTAGGGCTTCTTTTCTTCTTTTTTGAGACAGAGTCTCGCTCTGTCACCCAGGCTAGAGTGCAGAGGCATGATCTTGGCTCACTGCAACCTCCGCCTCCTAGGTTCAAGTGATTCTCCTGCCTCAGCCTCCCAAGTAGCTGGCATTACAGGCATGCACCACCACGCCTGGCTAATTTTTGTATTTTTAGTAAAGATGAATTTTCACCACATTGGGCAGGCTGTTCTCGAACTTCCAACCTCAGGTGATCCTCCCTCCTCAGCCTCCCAAAGTGCTGGGATTACAGGTGTGAGCCACCACGCCGGCCCGGGGTTTCTTTTCTTCTATAGTGAAACAGCAATATTGCTGTCATCGTTAATACTGTCACTGATGATTACATCAACTCAGCCCTTCCCCGTGGCTGCTACTGCTCTCCTCTAATTCCATAATAAGTACACAAAGTATGGCCCGATGCCAGGAAGATGGATCCTGCTCCCCTAGGTCCCACCGTGCCGCTCAGACCAACCTTTCATTCACCTCCAGTTTGACTCCTGTATCTCCTGCTCGGGATTTGCTGAGCATCTCCTGTTAAAAAGAAGCATAGTTGCTAAACGTGCCTTGAATATTAAGGACCCACTAATGTCCTACTATACTTTCAGTCCAACATCGTGTGGTAGCTGAGAAACCTGAATCTGGAGGTCCCTAAGTCCCTGCCCACATCCTTGGGAGAATCAGAAAAAGAATCCAGACTCTAATCTATTCAGGGGGAGTGCAGCTGTAGCGGGCTGGCTCTATGATCTGTGTCTTTTTTTTTTTTTGAGACGGAGTCTCACTCTGTCACCCAGGCTGGAGTGCAGCGGCGTGATCTCAGCTCACCGCAACCTCTGCCTCCTGGGTTTAAGTGATTCTCCTGCCTCATCTTCCCAAGTACCTGGGATTATAGGCACCCGCCACCATGCCCAGCAAATTTTTGTATTTTTAGTAGAGACCGGGTTTCACCATGTTGTCCAGGCTTGTCTCAAACTCCTGACCTCATGATCTGCCCGCCTCGGCCTCCCAAAGTGCTGGGAATACAGGTGTGAGCCACCGTGCCTGGCCAGAACCCAGGATGTTCTGAAACCAAAGTATCTGATTCTTGAGGAAACCAATCACCTTCTCTCATGAGGACCTTCTCATTTTCTATCACTCAGAAAAACTAGTGAGTTCAGATTTTGGTCTCTCTCTCTCTCTTTTTTTTCTTAACAATTTAAAAACATTTTTAGAGACAGGGTCTCACTCTCTCACCCAGGCTAGAGTGCAGTGGTGCAATCATGGCTCACTGTAGCCTCCAATTCCTGGGCTCATGTGATCCTCCTACAGCCTCTGGAGTAGCAAGGACTACAAGCATGCACCACCACGTCCAGCTAATTATTTTACTTTTTGTAGACATGGGGTCTTGCCATGATGCACAGGCTGGTCTCAAACTCCTGGACTCAAGTGATCCTCCCAAGGTGCTAGGATTACAGGCATGAGCCACTGTGCCTGGCAAATTCTGGTTTCTGTCTTAGGGGGTCGCCATGGCCTTAATGAACGACTATGACATGTCTAATGAGCAGTGTTGCAGAAGGGCAGCTGCAAAGGCATCGTTTCAGGAGATCCTGCAGGAACCTCCTACCTCTATTCTGGCCGTGGCGGTTTCAATAGCAGCTGAAGTGGCCGCCATCTCCTTGTCCACCAGGTCCCCCAGCTCTTCCTGCTTGATGTCCAGGCCCCTGGGCAGGAGCTCCTGTGAACACATCACAAAGGCTGAACTGACCCTGGGGCCTCCTCCCTCTTCTCCTCTGCCATCTGTAACCCTTACAAGATGGCAGAGGGAGGAGGCCACCCAGCCAACACCTTCTGCAAGCCACGGGGGTTGTGGGGGGGTCTTTCGCAGACCCCATCTGGTTCTCTTTGTGACACGAACTCTGGAACCTCACGCTCCTCCTCACTCAGGATCCACCTCTTTCCAGAATGCCATCGCTGCCTCCCCCTGCAAGGTCATTCCGCCACCACTAAGACCCCAGCCCCTTAGTTGTGCAGTGTCAATTGTACTAGCTACACAGGAGGTGTTTTTACAATTCGTTCTTTTGCTTTTTCTTTTTGAGACAGAGATCTCCCTCTATTGCACAGGCTGGAGTACAGTGGTGCAATCTCGGCACACTGCAATCTTCGCCTCTCGGGTTCAAGCGACTCTCCTTCCTCAGCCTCCCAAGTAGCTGGGATTGCAGGTTTGCGCCACCACGCTTGGCTAATTTTTATATTTTTAGTAGAGAGGGGTTTCACTATTTTGCCCAGGCTGGTCTTGAACTTCCGACCTCAGGTAATCCTCCTGCCTCGGCCTCCCAAAGTGCTGGGATTACAGGTGTGAGCCATCACGCCTGGCCCTAATTTTTTATTTTTTTGAGACAGAGTCTTGCTCTGTCATCAGCGATGGAGTGCAGTGGCTTGATCATAGCTCACTACAGCCTCGACCTCCCATGCTCAAGCAATCCTCCCACCTCTACCACCACAGTAGCTGGGAGTACAGGGGTGCACCACCAAGCCAAGCTAATTGTTTTGTTTTGTTTTGTTTTTAACAGAGATGGGGTCTTACTATGTTGTCCAGGCTGGTCTCGAATTCCTGGGCTCAAGTGATCCTCCCGTCTTGGCTTCCCAATGTGCTGGGATTGAGTTACTGCACCTGGCCTACAACTTTTTCAAATACAGATGATATCTCTCACTTTGGCCTTGACTTAACTTTGCTTCCACAGCGACCATATGAGGCAGGTATTATTCCTACTGTGTAGATAGGAAGCCAGGGATCAGCGGTAGAATGTCTTGACCACAGTTATGCTAGCAAATGGCAGGGCAGGGATTTGAACTAAGGTCTAACTAATAGCAAAGCCCACGATTTTTAAAACATGATGTGTTATACATACTAAGGTATAAAATATATATGAATGGTTCAAAGGATAAGAATAAAGACGCATGTTATCCACCATCCAACTTAAAACTTAAGGAATGCTATAAGAAATAGCAATACCTTTGGAATCTTATTTGTACTTGTATGCGCCCTGATTCTATATCCCTTCCTCCCTGCCTTCTACCCCAAGAGATACAGAATTCAAGAGCGTGGTTGTCATGTATTATTTTATTTTTATTTTTTTAAAGACAAAAAATAAAAGCCTGTTGCCCAGGCTAGAGTGCAGTGGTGTGATCATAGCTCACTGCAGCCTCCCACTCCTGGGCTCAAGTGATCCTCCTGCCTCAGCCTCCTGAGTAGCTGGTACAACAGGCACACATCACTAGGCTCTGCTAACTTAAACTTTTTTGTAGAATCAGAGTCTTGCTTTGTAACCCAGGCTGTATCAAACTCCTGGCCTCAAGTGATCCTCCCACTCCGGCCTCCCAAAGTGCTGGGATTTTCAGACATGTGCCACTATGCCTGGCCTGTCTTATTATTATTATTTTTTAATGCCATATAGCTGCATCCCTAAACAATATATTGTTAAGTTTGAATGTTTGAGTCTTTATATAAAAGGAATCATACTGTATATATTTTTCCAAGACTTGATTTTTCACTCAGCATTCTATGTGTGAGATTCATCCTGTAACCTAGTAATTCTGATTCTACATATATACTTTAGAACAACTGACATGTGTGCATGTATGATCATAGGGGCAAATTAATAACAACCCAAACTGGAAATAACCCAAATGTCTGTCACCAAGAGAACAGACAGATGAATTAAGCAATATTCACACAATAGATATGAGACAGCAGTGAAAATGAATGTATCTTCTTGGATTAATCTCACAGAATGTGGAGTGAAAAAGCAAGTTGTAGAAGAATATATACAGTAGGATTCCACTTACCTGTAGTCTATAACATGTGAAACTAACTCATTATTTAGGGAGGCAAAGATGAAGACAATCATTTTTCTTTCTTTTTTTTTTTTTTTTT